AAAGTGTGCATTAAGGTTATATCTGTTCTTCTTCCCTACCTATTCAGTCTGTATGCTGAACAATCATTCAAGAAGCTAAATGAAGAATGTGGCATCAGGATTGGAGGAAGACTCATCAGCAACTTGTATTATGCAGATGAAACAACCCTGCTTGCTGAAAGTGAAGAGGCCTTGAAACAGTTGCTGCAGAAGATCAAAGACTACAACCTTCAATATACATTATGTTTCAACATTTAGAAAAAAAAAAATCATCATCACTTGGCCCAACAGGCAACATTATGATAGATAGAGAAAAGACTGAATTTGCCAATGATTTAGCCTTACCTGGATCCACAATCAACACCCATGCTGACAACAGCCAAGAAATAATAATAATAATAAAACCCCCATGTATTTTAATTGTGAAAAATCTACTGTCAAGGACCTCACCAAAGTGTTAAAGAGCAAGGATTTCAGTTTAAGCACTAAGTTGTGTCTGAGCTGAGCTATGGTTTTTTCACTTGCTCCTGATATGTGTGAAAGCTGAACAGTGAATAAAGGTGGCAGATGAATCAATGCTTTTGAAATATGGTGTTGGAGAAGAGTACTGAACATCCCATGAATTGCCAACAGAACAAACAGGTTCATCTTGGAGGATGTGCAAACAGGGTGTTCCTTAGAAATAAGGATGATCAGAGGTGTGCAGTTCGAATCCACCAGATGCTCTGCTGGAGAAGGAGGAGCAATCTCCTGTACCCGTCAGATCTGATTTGATGGTACAGACACACAAAATAATAAAATGAAACAAAAAAAAGGAAAGAAAAAAGGATGATGAGACTTTGTCTCAGATACTTTGGGCAGATTGTTAGGAGTGGCCAGTCCTTGGAAAAGACACCATGCTGTTAAAGGTGGAGGTCAGAGAATGAGAGGAAGACCCTCAATCAGACGGACTGACACAGTGACTGTAACAATAGTCTTGAGCACAGGGGAGACCGTGAGGCCTGTGCAGGATAGGATAAGGTTTGAATCTGTTTTTCACAGAGTTGCTGTCAGTGCTAGTTGGCTTGAAGGCTCCTAGCAACAACAACTATTATCGGATATGGTGCATTCTAAGTTCCTGGAACATTCGAAGTGGCAACCACATGGTACAGCTATTGGTGTTAAGGACGGGAAGTAAAACATAAAAGTTTACATTAATTAAGAGGACTTTTGAAATTCTTTGAGCTTAAGAAATCTAGGATTCTGGAAGTCCACATTAACTAGCTTTTTAGTGTGCTGGAAAAGTCATTCCCCTTCCTCATTCCATTGTAAAATCTTAAATACAGTCATCTAGATGTGAGGTTAAAAAATTCACTGAGAAAATTCGCTATTTTTATTTCAACAGAAGTATGTTTCGTGTTAGGTTTTATTATCTGTAACAATTCTCTTTCTCATATCTACATTTGAATAATTGAGTTTTTAGAAAATGACTCTGAGAAGAAAGATAACAAATGCAAAGAATTAAAATAACACACATGATGAAATTTCCATTTATGAGGACTGTTAGAATTTTTAAAATAGTATTAAAGTAATATAAAATGAATCTTAGAATAGGGGAAAATACGTATATAAACAATTTTCAGTATGTTTGTTTGGTAATGATTATGGAATGAATGACCTCTTGGAGGCCTTTGGTTGTTATATTTTAGGGGAACATTCCTCTAAGTCACACAGCACTCTTCTGTCAAATTGCAATCCTGATGTAATCTGGGTTTGCTATGATCAGAGCCTTGTGCCTCTGGGGTGTCAAATACCATAATAGTTCCCCATGGTGGACAGTGTTTGGTGGAGCTCCCAGTTTAAGACATGTTTGGAAGCAGGTGTGGCATCCACTTCCTAAACCACATACCTATGGAAACTCTATGAACTTGTTGAAAGGGCGATAGTTATCAAAAGACGTCAGGTCTTTTGTTCATAGAGTCGCTATGAGTCGTGATTGGCTGGACGGCAATCAACAGAACAGCAACAGCAACATTACTAAACACATGCTAATGAACGAACAAGTTTCCTCAAGGATTATCAAGGATGTTCTTAGTCCTACAGCCTATCCAAGAAATATTTCACCTCTTAGATAAATGAAATTCACAGATCTCTGCCGTTTGCAAAAATGCAATGTGGTAAGCATTATCTAATGAGTTCATTGACAGGTAGGGCCCTAGGGGGCAGTGAGTTTAATAGAGGATAAAAGGAAAGATGAGAATGGTTGTGTAGGACATGCAGAAACTGCTGAATTTTCAATAACAGCAACAACAAAATAAAGAAAATGCACGGGGGCAAAGTCAACTTATCACAGTGAGTATCATTCAGTTCTAGGGGCAGGACAATTTAGAACCAGTACTTAATTTAAACTATCAGATTAAATTTTCTACATGAAAATACTTGGAAACTCACTCACTCACTATTATCGAGTTAGAACAGACTCATGGCTGGCCATCCGGTGGGTTTTTGGAGGGTATAAAGGAAATTACTATAAAGAAATAACGTTATTTGTGGTTTAAGGATGTTGACTGTTGGTCTGAGTTTTCTGTTGATGACCTTGACCCAATAATTGGTACTGGTGGAATGACTCTTGCCAGTATTTCAGAAAATCAACCACAGAGGGAGGAAAGGGATGAACAGATATGGTTTTCTATGGACTCATCATAGGAACCAGGACTTTTTCCTCAGTAGCTGTGCTGCCAATATTTTCCTTGCTATTTATAATATTAACTACAGAAGGGAGAATACACAGGAAAGCCATCCACCATGTCAGTTGTCTACCAATGCAAGCTTGATGCTGTCGTTTTTGTTGTTGTGCCGTCGAGTCATTTGCAACTCATAGCGACCCTATGTACAACAGCTCTAAACTCTGCTCTGTGCCCATCTCATTGTCTCTGACACGCTCATCCCGATTGCCCCAGTCACTGAATCAATCCACCTCCCAGAGGGCTTTCCCCTCCTGCGCCTGCCCTGTATCCTCCCAAGCATGATATCCTTCTCCAAGGACCGGTCTCTCCTTATAACATGACCAAAGTATGTCAGATGAAGCCTGATGCTAGAAAGACTACTATTTTCTTTAGTGTTTTAGTAAATAGTAGCTCTCAAGGAGTGTGGATGTGACCTAAATTATCTCCATGACATGCAATATTTATAAGGAACTGTTTTAAAAGAGGGAAGACAATATGTGATGCCCTTCAAAGGAACGTAAGAACTTAATTATAATAACATTTTTGAAGTATCCATGTGTTCCACTAAATAAAGACTTCTCAAAGAATTACAGTGATTCTTGGCAGATGGTATTGATTTAGTAACTTTAAAAGAAGAACATGTCTTTCTCAATCATTTAAGCTGTGGTGTTAAATTGGGAAAAATACTGAGTCACATAAGGAAGTTAATAGTTAAAACAAAAACAAAACTAATGGGAAATATTGAATAGATGCTATAATTTAATAAATTTGTAGTGAGTCCTGTTTTTAATTTTTCAATTAGAAAAAAATAGTTTGCAACTGAAATACAGAGTTTTGAATGATTTTAATTTCTTTGTTACACATGCTTTTAGGTACTAAAATACCCAAGGTAGACAGACCATATCCCAAGGGGGATTAAAAGTCACACAGTCCATGGCAATGATAAGTCAATTGTGAAGCGGGTGGGGGGGTGGGGAGGCGGGAGATGAAAGAACAAAATATTGAATTTCTTTGGAGTGAAGATGTTTTACAAGTTATTTAAGACAGTAACAAAATGACAACAATAGCTATTAAATAATCTGCTTATAAGGTAGAAGTTTTAGAAGTTATGTAGACAATGGAATATAATATTAACTAGAAGTTCCATAAAAATCTGTTGTTGTTAGTTGCCATCTAGTAGGTAGAATATCAGGAAGATCTGTGAATACAGAGTAGAACTGTGCTCCAAAGAATTTTCAAGGTCATGATCTTTTTGGAAGCAGATCTCTAGGCCTGTCTGCTGAGGTGACCCTGCTGAGTTTGAACTGTTAAATTGTCAGTTGGCAGTCGAGTGCTTTACTGTTTCTACCACCGAAGGATTCCCTCATAAAAATCTATCCACTGCCATAGAGTTAAGTCTAATTTACACAACTCCCACAGAACAGAGAGAGCTCTGGTAGCTTAGTGGTAAGAATTGTACTGCCAACCCATATGCAAATGGTACAAATCTACTAGCTGCTCCGCAGAAGAAAGATGGTCTCCTCCTATTTCATTTACCTCCTCTAAAAACCAGCTGGAGGATCTGCTATAAGTCAATTCTGACTTGAATGCACATGACAACAACAACAACATGGGGCAGAGTAAGGAATTGTGCTGTAAATCCAAAGGCAGCACCTCTGACTGTTTGAATCCACCAGCAGCTCTGCAAGAAAAAGGTAATCTCCTCACAAGCAATTGTACAGCTTTCTCAGAAACTCAGGGGAGGCTTAGCTACAAATTAGTTTTGACTCGAAAAGAAATGACAGGATACTGTAGAACTGCCCTATAGGGTTCACAAGGCAGCAGCAATTTTTGCAGTCACAGACTGCCAAATTTTTCTCTTCTGCAGAGCAGCCTGGTGGATTTAAACTATCTGCCTTTCGGTTAATAGTCAAGCACTTAACCATTGGGCTGCCAGCTTACAGCCTAGATAATGAAAAGTCAGGAAGGAGTTTGCCAGAAGGGCAAACCAGGGAGCTGATGACTGAAGTTTGGTGCTTTTGAATAGGTTTTTTAAAGCAACAATGAAACTTATTAAAACTATTCACACCACATTTCTGGGTGTAAAACCCAGCATATAAGAAATTAAACTGAGTATTCCCTATAGCCCCAAAATAATAAACTATATAACAATGGAGGCAAAGCTGTCTTGTAATAAGTTTACTCATAAACCCCTATTAATTGTATTGCCCGAGTGACTGATTTTTTTTTTTAAAAGCCAAAACATGAAAAAAGAACACTTTCTGGAAGAAATTGATTTTTCTACCCATTGTAATACCCCACACCACACACAGGTACCTTGGGTCTGTGGGCTGAGGGCGATAGTTCCAATTGATGACCTGAGCAGCCACATAGAATTGCCTTAGCTGCGCTGCTTCGGCTTCTTGGCTCCCCCACCTTGCCCAGCTGGTGCTCAGGACCACCAGGACCCAGAAGCGTGGGCAGCCTGGGAACATAGTTCCTTTCTTGCGTCTGCCCCGGTCTCGGGCTCCCTGGGACCTGGGGAGGCTCGTCTGCGCGCAGCTGTCCCCGCGCCTGTTCCTCCTGCAGTGCGCGCCAGGCGCCTGTGGATGGCAGTGTCAGCTGTGACTGAGGCTCCTTCAGAGGCAGCAGCTGCTGCTGCAGACGGTCTGTCCTTGGTTTGGGGATCGTTGTGGGACGGAGGTTGACTAGACTCCTGCCCTGGAAGACCAGATAAATTACGGAGCGGAAGCACATTAGTTACTGTTTGACTAGAACACCTTTAGTAGGCAGGGCAATGCCCTCGGTGGGATTCCCGAGCCACAGTTAAAAACCTCTCTTCCTCGCAGTCGTACCGCCCCCCCCCCACCATAATACTGACCTGGGTCAAAGTTCACGCTTGTCAGACCCTCTGCAATTCCCATGCGGAGGGACCCAACTAACTCAACCAAGCCACCCTCCTAGCCTGAGGAAAAGGGCAGGACTTTGTCCTGAGCAAAGAAGTAGTTTATTTTCAGGTGGTGAGGAAACAAGGGTACAGTATCTAAAGTAGACCTGCTGCCAGAACTGCTAGGCTATCTGCACCCGCTGGGAGGCTCAGGGCTGGTGCTATGGCAGAATTCTCACTTCCGTGCAGGAGTCCTGGAATTCATTCTGGACCAACGCGCTTTGCAACAGCCACCTCTCATCTGTCATGGAAGCTTTTGTGTTGCTGACGAGGTCCCAGCAGCTTACTTACTGCAGCTTCCAGCCCAAGTAAGAGAGATAAGAAAAAAAGGCCTGGCGAGCTACTTTTTAAAATTAGATAATAATAATAA